ATTTTCTAGTCGCTAGCTTTCAATGCTCCGCTTGTGTTGTATCGCAAAAGATGGGAAGCTTCGCATCTCTGTATCAGTTTTATCTACTCTATTTTGTACACACAAGGTGCCATCTGCATTTTTCAGAGGGTTAATTTTTTTACTCAGTGCTCCTGAGAATTTTTGATAATAATTTATGCTATCCGTAGGAAATACTACTATACATACTGTTGTATCGAAGCTCTTTTGTTATGCAGTGCTGTGAATAGCTTTTTTGTTTTTGTGCTTGCATTTGAGAACTTAGTATGTTGGTATTGGACTTTCCATAAAGACTTTCCTTAAAAACTTTCCTTTGTTACTATATAGGCAATGTCACCTGCGGATTAAGGGGGGGGGGGGGGGTTGTCACCTGCGAAAACTTGTTGAGCGAACAAAAATCAAACAGAGAGGCAAAGCAGAGCTTACCCCCTGCCAACCCAAAGAGTCCCCCTCTGTGCTCTTGTGAGTTATCCATTTTTGGCTGACTGACCCTATAACTTTTCTTAAAACGCCTTTGGCGCCAAAATATACTAATTTTTAGGGAGAGCGCGCGCCAAAAAAACTCGATTTTTTGGTCAAATTTTTCCAAACTTGCCTTAAAACGTTTTTTTGGCCTGTTTTGGCCTGTTATAGTGATTTGGGAGAGTTCAGATATTCAATTTGGTTGATTTGAAAAAAAGTAAAATTTTTCGATTTTTTTTTTCAAAATCCGCCCCCCACCATCATGAAAATCCTAGATCTGCCCCTGGCAAAGCCATTGAATGCTTTTGCCAATTTTGCTACGAAAATTTTTGTTAGCTGAAAATTTTGTGTGAGTAAATCTTTGGGTTATTAATGGGTTGAGCTCTAACAAAGATAACAAGTTTTGCTATACTGGACGACACTCAGAACGCAACAGCAAGGTAAAATGTTTGAGAATTTATAAAATCCAGATTCTTGCTCTGATAGATAACAGAATTCACGAATCGCCTGGAAATTTAGTCTTTTAAAAACATTTTGAGCAAATTGAGTTTCAAAAATGGCATTTTTTTATACCTGTTTAATTTTCTAGAACTAAGTTTTCTTTACAGTTCTAGAAAATCTTTGCCTTTTCAGGCCAATAAACTAAATAAAACTGAAGAATAAGTAATAAACATACTTTTGATCTTAGAATCAAAACCAGTTTTCCTGATTAATATCAGGCATATTTTTAAGCATACAAAAAATTCACATTGAGGAGAGAATCTAATGTAAATTAGGGGTTGAAATGTGATCATTTTTTTTCATAAGCTTTAGTTTGTAAGATTTCAGTTTATTCAACCAAATTCATATTGAGGAAAAAAATATGCGAAGTTCTTGATGATGCGTGTTCAGTGTCGCCCAGTATATATCCGAATCCGCTTTCGTTTCGCGCGTGTTGCCTTTTGGAAATTTGAAAGCAATTAGTAAAGCAATTCCTTAATTTGAATTTTTGACTTTCAAAAAGATTGTTTTTGTTGTAAAACTTTTTGACGAGTTTCTGTTGTAACTTTTTTAAATTTTGGATCAAGAAACTCTTAGTTTGATCACATTTAGTGCAGTTTGGTCAAATTTAGTTAAGTTTGATTAAATTCTAAGAAGTGTTGATCAAAATACGTTTGAAATGGCCACCAATATGTGTGATTTTTCTTCAATGCTAACTCTTCAATTGGTTTTTCTCGACATCTCTTTCTCAATATGAACTGCGTTTAAGAAAGTGGTATGAACATTTAGTAGATCTTTAAAAGTGAGTCGATGAAACAATTATTAAGAGTCGTTGAACGTAGTTCAGACTCTTATATAGGTCGCGATGATTTTTTTTCAATAGTCTTAAAATTTGTTCAGGCTCAAACTCACTTCTTCGCGGTTTGATTTTGGACTTATTTTTTAATTTCAGTTCATTTTCTTTGTTAAACGGAAGGCAAACTCAACTATCGAACAGCGAAAGTGTAAAGGCCACAAAAAACGTGACCGACTTCTACTTTCGAAAATGATAATTTAAGATTTCACAGCGAAATATAAAAAATTTACCCATCGATTCAGTTTTTTTTTCAAATTGGGTCAGTTTTGTCTAAAAAGTGCCAATCATAAGTTGTTTCTATAATTTCAAGCAACTTTAGGGTCATCCGTTTTTTGTTTTTTCAAGTTTGTTCAAAAAACAAGACAATTTTTTCTGCTTTCTTGCTTTCATTGACTCTTTTCCTACTGTATGTTGGCTATGTTTTCGACTAGATGGCTTTAGCCTCATTTTCTATGAACTTGCTTGCCATGCGTTGTTTATGATGTATCGCAAGAGGCGCGAAATTGTGGTTCGCCTCTGCTGGCAAATTGTTTTAATTAATAAATAAATTTTAGCTCAACTAGATTTTCTGTTGGTCACGTTCTTTTTAAAAACCTGCCAACCTGTTGCAATGTAAAGCAATAAATGATAAAATTTGCGTCAGCCAATTAACGCCTTGCAGGGGCCATTTGTTGAAAAAAAGTTGAAGAGATTTCTTGTAATTTGTAACAGGTAAAAGGTTTGACTCTCGTGTTTGGAGTACTTAATTGAAAAATTATTTAAAACTTAAATTATTCCATTATTCACTTGTTAGGTTTAATTAAAAGTAACATCATCAACATGAGATAGTTTAAAAATAACAATTTTGCAGTTTATACAAATTTTTTGTCTGGAACGGGTTTGCGCTAAGTGGAAAAGCCTGAAGCTATTGAAACAAAATGATAGTTTGATTTTTCTCGAAAAGTAGCATGAGCATATTTGCATAATTTTTATCCGACCCGGTGTAGTGACGCAACACTGATATCATGTTTAATGCTCCCCACTTAAGCTTGCAAGCTTCTTTTTTTTCTGCCTCCATCGCAGAATTACTTTTGCTTTTATCCTCTTTTAAACGTATCCAAGGGAGAAAATGCGAACATGAGAGAAAGAGAAAGCAATTTGTATCGTCATTAGACATGCGGTTTGCTTTGTCGACGCTTAAAATTTGCCAATTTTTGAAGTACTGCATTAATCCAGAGCAAAAAAAACTAAAATATACGTTGATCAAATAACTAAACACTCAGTATGGGAGAATAGTGATTTTTTTCCGGATTCGACTATCTATGCGTGGCCCCGTGGAAAATTGCAATAAAAAGTAATATACACAACAAATATATAAAAAATGAAAAGCAGTATAGAACAATACATTTTTATCACTCCACAAATAGCCAAATATATATGCCAGCTCAGAAGCCGAAATTGCGTTTGTTTTATCGTTCGCGGCAACGGAAGATTGCATTAGACTTTTTCTAAAAGGGGAAAATAAAGAGGGAAAAAAGAGTAGCGTAAAAAAGTAATTCCAATTTCGTTTCTGACTACTGCGTGCTTTACGAGACTGTGGCACTACGCTGAAATGAATTCTACAAGTCTGAATCCAAATTTGAAAATATTCATCTAAATATACGCGAGGAGAATCGAATAAAGCGGGATAAAAAGTGAGGCAATTGTACGTGTATGTGTGTGAGGCATTAGTACGTGGGATGGGAAGAAAAAGGGAGCTTGGAGAAAGAAATGAAAAATGAAAATGGAAATTGTCGTCTATTCTACCGTTTAATTTCTCTTTTCTCTCTCAGTCTTTTCCATCCTCTCATTCTCTCTGTTTTTTTATATCCCTGGCTCAGTTCAGTTTAGTTCCGATACAATCCTATCGCATCCTATTGCCTCTTTGGCTTTCTTCCTTCCAGTGATTATGCCGGTGATCGGCTCCGATGCGTTGATATGTTCTGTATTATAGTTATGTGATGTTAGTTGGTATGCGGTGCCGATTCTGAACTATTAGTTAGTGAGCGAATTGAAGTAGGACATAACCAAAAATTCTCTGGATTGACGGAATTAGTAAATGGTTATACTTATACTTATATATATGCTTATAGCTTCCGATGTCAGTCTAAAAACAAATAGTCATCGAGATATATAGATGGATTATTCAGTGTGCAATGGCGCTTATCCAATTTTACTTCTCAGCTCCTTGGTTTAAATTTTCAACTCGACCAAGCCAGTATCTAAATCTGAATTTTCTATTTATCCTTTTCTTCACTTAACTTCGCTTCGCTTTACTGCTTAGCTTGATTTGCTGACTCGACTGAATTGTTTGCGTTTAACCTTTTTTATTGTTTTTTTTTCTCCTGTTCAGTTTAAAAAGCAACAATTTTATTATGTACCTTATCCGTGCTATTATTGAAAAAGCGTTATAATTGTAGTACATAGTAGCAGTTGAAGTAAGTATATCAAGTGATATCTTTCAACATTTTTTTGAATAGCGTAGGAAACGTGAAATACTTTGAGGAGCTTTCTTAAAGATCGTTGCTCTACTTTATGACAACTTCTGTGACCGTTTTTGTTCGTGTTGACTTGTACTTGAGTAATTTATTGATACAAAACAGTGGAAAAGTAGTTGTTTTTATTATAACCCGTGCATTAAAATAGAACTAAATAACTATATAATACTGCAAGCAGAAAAAATTGGGAGTGAAGAAATAGAAGCCAGCAAACATCTCATAAATTTAGTTTTATTGCCTGAATTTCCCTTTAATTGCCTTTTTATTTCCCACAATTATACCCGTAGTCTAATTCGCTGGTAACTGAATTTATGCCGAACCCACCTCAGGCAAAACACCCCTTAACCGCGACCTACTCAGAGCATCATCCCCCCAGCTTTTCAGTCACGCTTAATCGGAATCTGTACTAGGCACCCTCGCCGATCAAGCAAAAACCTAACGAGCAATTGGAATTTGATCTTAACGTCTTCCCGTTTTGCCGAGAAAAGTACTTGCGTTCTTGTTACTTTTTTTGTCAATTGTTTATTAGAATGTTTTTAATGTTTGTTTAAAATTTTATTCAGCAATTTTGCGTTGGTTTTTATTGTTGTGGTAGATTTTGTTTATGAGTGAGTTTTTAAAATTCACTACTTTAGAGCTTTATAGTCATTGTGCTTGTGATGTTTTAGCAATCAGAATGCAATACAGTGAATTCCGATTGTGGCGATATCAACGGGATACCAACATCAAAAATATCGAACACACAAAGACCAGCATTACTGGAGGACAGTAGTATAATCCGTAGGAGCAACAATAGTAATTGTCACAAGCATGAATTCTCGACAGAAGTTAACGCGCAGTACTACAAGATAATAAATGACGAGCCAATAGTCAATGATATAACTTCCAATTCAAATTTACATCTCCAATCCGACTCGAACAATTCAAATTCAAACACCTTACGACTGTTACAACAACCTCTTCCCTTGCCCCGTATCGCTACTCAATCATCTTCATCATCATCATCTCACCACTCTTCGTCTTTTATCAACATGATCGCCAACGGAGTACCAACCTCAGTCAACGGAATGGGTGGCACAGATGCCTCTCGTGACTTCTCGTCCCCCAAAGCACCCCCACCCCTTATCTACTCGGAACTATCGGGAGTCCCAGCAGCATCTGTGTCTTCCGAGGACGCTCTCCTCGTTTGTTCCTCCATGTCGGCTGATTCGGCATCTGTTTTGAGCAATCCTTATTACTCTGCTCATATGCATAATGAGATGCTTCTAGCAGGGGGTGGTCTGGTCAATGGAGTGGGGCTCTCCGTGTCTCCCACGGATGATCTGGATCCGTATGCCGCAGCTGCGGCCGCCGCCTTTTACGCTTCCGCAGATGCTGCTGTAAGTTACTTCTACGTTCTAACTTTTAACATTCAGTATTTGAAACATTTTTTCTCCTGAAAACGGAATGGAGAACTGGATATACTTTTTGGATTAGAATGTTGCTAGCTTGTTTTAGGACATTAAATATAGACTAGACGTTGCATTTATGTGCGTTTAACGGCGAATGATTTAAATGCACCTGAAGAAACAAGCAGTTTAGGCTACGAAGAAATCGATATGCCTTGGAAGCATCAATTTTTTTATCACCCTGAGTCTGCTCGTTGATTTTTTCACATGAGATCTGGTTGAGCAAGCACCCCTTAAATTTTTCCAACGCCCAAGGTGCCAATGAAATTTTGAGGTACCGAAGTGCTAAAAAATACAAAAATAAGAAAAAGTTACATAGGGGACAAGATATGTGCAGAGCATACCATTTAAAAAGGTGAAAGAGCCTTTGCTTTGAACGGGAATTTGTGTGCCTGTTTAGGGCTACATGAACGGGGTTGGTGTGGGCGGCAATGGGGTGAATGTGGGTGGGGGTGTTGCTGGGGGAGGGGACTCGGGAGTGGGTGGCACTGGCCTACCTCCAATGTCTTCCTTCCGCAGTCCCTTCAAGAGCAACGGCGCACCCAGCCCCGCCTCAGAACAAAAACTGCTAGCTGTAAGAACAACCAATCATTGAATTGAATCATTACCAACTCCACCCACCATTTCTAATTAGACATAACTGTACCAGTATATTATAATCATTTAAAAATTGGTTTCAAATTGGGTTTAGTACCAAACTAGAATTTTAGCCGACTCATTTAGACTAAAATAGAGTAGTTTGAATAATAGTATTTTGAAAAAAGTTGAATTTAAAGAGGGTGAAGCACAATCATTATTAGAATTGAATGCGAAACTTCATCTTAGAGAAAAAACTAGACGACTTTAGATATATCATCGAAGAAATGAGAAATTCTTTTGGCAATGATTATGTATGCTTACATCTATTGTCTATGAGTTTCTTTGGTGTTTGAACCGAGAGGTCGCTCGCTTCTTCGGTTCGAAAGATTCCCTCAAATCTAGCCATCGTGTCTTCTTTTTTCCTCAACTGCTTCCTGTTTCTGTTCGCTGATTGGGGTTTATGGGCTTTATAGAACCGTTTCACATAATATGTAATTACAGGCTGAAGGGCTAAATGTTAAATGCGTCTCATTTTTTGCCATCTCATCCATTTTTTTACTGTATGGTGACGATGATCTGCGATGTAATGATCACGGGCTTCTGTTTTGTTAGATTTAATAAAAACAAGTAAGTTAAGCTGAAAGGTGGTCAAGCCAATGAGCAGCATGGTGTAAGAGCAAAAAACCTGACACATTGATTCAGTACGGGTTAATCAATAAAAAATTAATTAGAATCAACAATACTACCTCAGAAATGAGTAAATGATACTAACTGAGTAATTCCAACATTTTTTTTTTGAATTTCGAAATAAAAAAACTTGATCAAATATTCAATTTACGCATAATCTTTTCATTTCTTGGGTAATATTGACAATTCTAATACTTGTTTCTACCAATTACCTTATAAAAGTCATTATTTTTCCCTTTTTTTGCTCTTAGAACATTCTGCTTATTACTCTGATTCCATGCTGTAACTAAGTAATCAAACAGTTAACTGTGTTCATTTTAATTAATCAATTAACAACCTATATGCATAATTTTTTTCGACGTCATCAGTTAAGATTGATACAATAAGACACTGTATAGCTCAACAAAATCTTACCGCTGACCATTTTAATTTTAATGTTACTCGTGTTTTTTAACAAAAATAACGGAGTGGTGAGAAAAGCTCCATAGCTGCAAGTGGTTTCATCTCCAATTAATGCTTTTAAATTAAATGTTGCTCATTTACTTCTGTTCATATCCGACTAATTCTATCTCTGTCTCTCAAATTATCCTGACTATAAAATGAAGAAGACGATGACAATGAGTTAAGTATTGTGTTGTGTTTGCAGATGTACCCCCCTGAGCAGAGGCCGGATGGTCTGGTCGGCAGTCCACCGCCACTCTCCGCCATGTGGGCACACCACCCCATGCATCCCTCCCAATTCATGGTAAGTTTATAACTTCTTTTATATCAAATTTTCGTTAACTTAGTGCAGTGAAGACGAAATTTGTTAAGGTTGCGTATGTTTTTTGAGCATTGAACGTTTTCCTGCTCTTTAAGCTGAGACTCTAGAAACACTCTATTTTTTGAAAAAAATTTCTTTGTTCAATGTTCGCTCTGTAATTAAAAGTGAAAGTAGCGCAAAAGCTGCGCTGTATTTTGGTTTTCGAATTTGGAAATAGTTTTGACTATTTTTTTTTTCAGGAAAAGTTGTAAAATTTGTTCAGGTTCAAGATTACTTTTTCGCAGTTTGAGTTTTGATTTCTTTATAAATTCAGTGCATATTTTTTAAAGGAAGTCAAACTCCTCTATTGAATAGCGAAAATGTAGAGGTCCCGAAAAACGTGGTCGACTTCAAGTTTCGAAAGTGGAATTTAATTTTCAGATTTCTTTTTAAAATTTTAATTTTAAAAGTTCTATTTTTAGACATTTCAACTGTTGGTCCAGTTTTTTCAAATAGAGTTACTTTTATCAAAAAATTGCAATCATCGAAAATTCGAAAGTATTATTCAAAAAATAAGTCCGCATTTTTGTTTTCTTGCGTTCATTGACTTTCTTCCATTTGTCTGTTGATTATATTTCTCAAATTGATATACTTTAATCGAAAAAGTATCAATTGCAAGTTTTTCAGCGGCTACCTGGGCTAAAGATAGTAAAAACTGTGGGGCCTTTGAATCATATTTACAAAATTATTTTTATAAACTTGTTTTACTGTCTTGCTTTTAATAGCTGAGAGACGGCAGCCACGTGTTGGACGAGAGTGGAACAGCCTACATGATGACTTCAGCTGCACACCACGACCCCTACTCTGGTATGGCCCTTCTACCCCACTCGGGTCACAGCCATGGCCCCACTCCCACTGGAACCCCCCACCCACATCCAGCATCAGCAGCAGCCGCCGCTCACTATCTCGGGGGAGGTCATCACCACCCGGGAACTCATCCACTCCTAGATGGTCACCATGTGAGTAAAGAAACCACTCTTATTTAGGAGACGATTTGTTTATCAATTTCTCCTCAATTCATAGCATTTTTTTCTAATGAGTTGTTCAGAAGGTACGAAAAATTGCCTTTTGTTTTTGTTAGTCGTTTCATCAGTTGCGTTGAAGCGTCATTCAATCGTGTTGCCCCTTTGTAATTAAGCATGTAATGATTTACACTGGCGAGTTGTCCGTTGCCTAGTATCATTTTTCGCCTAATACGGGTAGTGAATTGTTCGGTTTGTTTTCTTGTTTCTGCTAATTTAATTTCATTTGTTAATTGAAACTGTTGTTAAACGATCGATTGCGTTCATAAAAAATAACACTATCTCGGTATGGCCTAAGATTTTAATTTTATCTAATATGACCAAATTAAGTTAGTCGTTACTAGTATGTTCCTGCCTGACATCATGTTCACTTGGTACTTGACTTAACTTCTCGCTGGCTCTGTTACCCCGGTAGTTTGAATGCTAAAATTGTATGTTGGGTTTATGGGAATTAGTGCACAGTATTTGGTGTAATCCGAGCTGTTATCTTGAAAGCAGCGTAAACAAAAAGTGCGAAATACTAAAACAGGAGATAAATCAGCCCAGAAACATATTAGCATGTCTTTCCAAACAAAGCCAAAGCCCCAATTTGGGCAATATCCAATATTGGACCATGTTATGCGGGACACGTCAATTAAACCACCAGCGAGCCCCCTCGAAACAGGTGGACGCCAGATGACCTTAATTTGGCCCAAATGGAACCCAGATTGGCTGGGGATCATTCCTACTCCACTTCAAACGCACAGAAACAACCCATTCTCTCTCTCTCTCTCTCTCTCTCTCTCTTAGCCATTCCTTCTTTTCCTTTTTCTTTCTCTCATAAATTTTACTCCGAGTCCTCCGACACCACAAGCCCGATGAAAGGTAATAATAATAATAGCGCGAAAGGGTTCCCTTTGTTGCTACTGTGCGTACTCGGTATTACTTGGGCGATTCTTTGTACAGTTTCGGGGATATAAGCAGACCCAAAGTGAAGATTAGGTTGCATAAATAATTGAGCGGCTGAGAAGGAACGAATTAACAGCGGGATGTCTCTCCACTCCTAGATCTCTCAACACCTTTGCAGTCCGGTACAGGAAAGTAACCCTGTTCAAGTTTCAGCGAATATAGCAGCGGTCTATTCGCCCAAATTTTTAACCTATCAGAATGGCGTCTGGATTGCTTTGTTGAGATAGTATACCAATTAAAACCATTTGTAGCTTTTGATTGAATCGCTGTTTTATGATATTTACGCTTAAGTTTTTAGTTCTTATCTCAATTGCTTTACTTATTACGGACGTGAGATCAATTTAAAGGGGAAAATATTTTTAAATTTGATTTTAATCAGGGCTGAAATAGATCAGGGTTGTTTGACTTTTAGATCAAAGCTTCCAGTTATCTTGCATTTCCAGTTATATTGAAAAAGACTATTATCAAAATTGGTTGAAAATTGGAATTGGTTCTTATATTGAGCGAATTGATAAACGTGGTACTTAATGTTTTATCAGTTTTCCATCTCGCGGGTCTCTACTATTTACTTTTCATTATAAATACTCACTCTGAGCAGCACTTGTTGGCCGAGTCAGTTATTCATTCGATAGCAGTGATAGTAATGTCGCAATATTGTTTGCCTTCTGAGTCTCGTCCCGTAGTCCTGGCTTCGTCTGGGCAACCCAACGGTGGCTCTTCAGTCCAGAGCAACTTCTTCAATCTGCAACACCCATCTGCAGCTGCTTACATGCCGAGTGCTGCTGCTGCTGCGGCCGCTGCCCACTCTCCCGGAAGTGCAATGGGAGTTGGGGTTCAGTCCCCAGTGGCGGCGGCAGCAGCTGCGGCTAATATGTCCAATATGTACCAGTACTACCTAAACCAGCCATACATATACACATGGGTTAGAACCTCGCCAAACATCTGTTTAATATTAGCAAGTGCTTCGAAGGTTCATAAATGCTTGAAAAAGAGTCGCATCGGAGTTGTGGCTAAATTCATCTTTAAAGTAAAAAGGGCTAAATCCTCGCACGGCATTGACCCATGTAATGACCATTTAAATTTTTTTGAAAGATTTATCTCATCTAAAAACACCAAACAAATTACTTTAATACCAATAAGATCCTTCAAATTACTTTAAATGTTATTTTTTAATGGCATTATCAGTGTCTCAATCTATCGAATAAAATTTTATTTATTTAAAGGAGCTTTTGAACTTCGGACAAACTGTATGCAAAAATCTAGCTCTTGCTAAATTTTCCGCAATACTGTTTGCCTTCTGTCACTAAACCAACAAGTAATGCCACACCAACAAGTAATGCCACAAATTGTTGATCTTTCAATTTTTCAAATAGTGTGATATAATGGGGTACTTTGACTTGTTACCAGCACTCATTGATTCATTGTTCTTTCGGTATAATTTCAGTGGGCTTATTTAGATGTGATTGTTTTGTTTAGACGAATCACGCGGCCGGTCTGTCTGCGGCCGCATCGGGCACCCACGGTCACCTGCCAGGGGGTGCATCCGGAGTAGGGGGAGGGGGAGCTTATCTGAGCCCCACCTCCCACGCCAACCCCCTCTCCCTCTCTTTGCAACAGGGCACGAGCGGGGGCACAGGCAGCGACAACGGACTCTCCTCCCCCAACTCAGTGACAGTGTCGGAGGACAACAGTCCAAACGGGGGATCGGGCGGCTCCAAGTCCAAGGGCCGCAATGCCAAAGCAAGGTCAGCAAATTTATAACTCTCTAATTCTGCGGCAATCTCATCTTCCGATTTAGGATTAATACTGATTGTTTACGTAACCTATTGGGCAAGCACCATGAGTCACATTTCTTTTTCAAAAGTTAGTTTTTGCTTAGTTTTTTTGCGGTTAGATTTTTGATGTCTCTGTAATTTAATATTCTAATTTCGTCAGCTTGAAGGAAAGTTACGATTAAATAGAGTGGAAAAAGCTTGAATTTTAGTTTGAAAAGAGTGATTTGCTTTTTGCTTATTTTTATTGCATTCATTTTTTATGGCTGTTTAAGAGGCACCTTTGACTGAAGTGTATTGAGCTGCAATTAATTCTAAAAAACTACGGGTGCGCAGAATGTGATCGCTGTTTCGATGTTCACGGCTTCGAAAGAGTTATAATCTCTATCTTGGTTAACATTGTAGTTGCTTTTGAGACTATTGTGGCTTCTGCTTTAGGAAGGCAACCGAGGCGCCGGAGGATCCGAACGAGGACCCAATGATGAAGCAGGAGCGGGAGAGGGAGAGGCGCCACGCGAATAACTCCAGAGAGAGGATCAGAGTGCGAGACATCAATGAGTCTTTCAAGGAGCTGGGCAGGATGTGTAGCATGCACCTGCACACGGACAAGGCCCAAACAAAGTTGACCATTCTACACCAAGCAGTCAGCATCATCTCACAATTAGAATCACAAGTCAGAGGTAGGTCACTCTTAAAGTCGTAGCCTCAATCGCATAATCAAACATGAATCCTAGCAACTCAACATCATTACTATAACATGAAAACGAAATTCATCAGCATGAAAATTTTTTCTTAGTTTTTTTGCATTGCGGCAAGGGTTAAGACCATTTCTCTACGAGGCGAAGGGCCATCAAATGATCTGATCTTCTCTTAATGAAGAGCTGATCTGCTCTGCTCTGCTGTTTTACCTCTGCTTAAGAACTAAATGCGGTTTTGAGATATTTTTGCCTCAAGCAGCGAGCACGGGGTTAAGCAGGTTCTTCACTAAAAGTTGTTAACAGAGAGAAATCTGAACCCGAAGGCGGCCTGCCTAAAGAGGCGAGAGGAAGAGAAAAACGACAGTGACATGAGCATGCGTGCAGCCGGTCTACCACCGGTGCCACCCGCCACTGCCGCGGCCGCCCACGCACTCAATGCCGCAGCTGCTGCCGCTGCATCCGCCAACCCCATGCAACAGCTGCAGTCACAGCAACACGGTGAGTCAAACTCAGGAACTGCAGAAGTCATCCCATCTCAGGCTTCAATTTCAAAAAGAAACTATACAGAGAATTATCTCCGTACTTATTAATTTTGCGATATTCTTTTTCTTTTTGTAAAACAGAAAACATTGTTCAAGAGTTTTCAGAAGCTTTAATGTGTTTACATGATGTTTATTATTTGATGTCTTTGTAGGGGGTAAACCAGGTAGCCAGCAGACCCTCAGCTCCAGTCCGCCTCTTTCTCTCTCCTCCTCCCAACTGGCGCTGCACCCGGCCGCCACCGGAGGTCCAGACCCCTACTCCCTCACACCCCCTCACATGTACCACCACCCCCACCATCCAGCAAGCACCAGTCTAGCCTCATACGAGTCGGCCGCCGCCCTCGAAGCACAAGCAGCAGCCGCATCCTACCACAACGCCATGGCAGGAGTCAGTGCCGCAGCAGCGGGTGGCTCCGTCGCGGCTGCAGCCTACTTGTCCGGTGCGAGACAAGGTCAGCAGGACCTGACATCCCAACATTTAGCCACGTCAGTTCACGAACAGTATCTTCCCACATCTATGCCAAATTCTTACCGATCAGACCCACTCCTCATTGGCTGAACGAACTGAGCAATCACGTCTGGGTTAAACAAGTAGATTGAGACTTACGCGATAAACTTGATTTCCGCTTCGTGTCCCGAGTCTGACCAAAACTAATATTTGCCTCAATTTTCTATGAATTTTTCTTTTTCGAACTCCATTTAAAATTAATCCAAATTGAAGGCGCTTAAAGTTTAGAAAGCAATGAATTTTATGTGCGGGCGAAAGGCTACGCGTTTTACGTGTAAAGCCTATGTGTATTACTTAAACTTACTCTTTATTAATGGACAGCGCTATATATCTTTCACACGTTTCCTGAAGTTATGAAAGTTACGAATGAATGTGTTATGTGCATTAAATTGACTTACTCTTCTCATAACTGGAAACGTCTGACCCTAATAAAGTGACCTTTATAAATGAAAGTGGACTCATTGTTTTAATGCGGTAGAGTTACATAAATTGTGTATTTAAAACTAAATTGGCTCAATTCAACATTAATGGCCTCCTTTTGCTCAAAACATCAATGTAGCTTTAGCTTGCTTATGTTACATGTCTCTAACATTTCTACAAACTTGTTTTTTCTTTAATTATGCTTTAAAAAGTGATTGTCACTTATACAGCTAGTAATGAATTGTTTTTCGTTTTTTTTTTAGGAAAAGTGTTTGTTCACGCTCAAGTTTGAAAAATTGAAAAACAAAACGTCCGACGGTCATGATGGCATCAATAACAGGATGGTCAAGTTTTGTGCGCCAATAATATTGCCATTCTTAACTTTTTGCTTTAACCAATGCTTCATTGCTGGTGTTTATCCAGACTTTTGTAAAGTTGCAAAGGTACTTCCATTTTATAAAATGGGAAAACAGACAACCAAACAGTTTTCGACTCATAAGTTTTCTAAGTACTTTCAGCGAAATGTTTGAAAAAATAATACACATTCGCATGATTAAGTTAACATCAAAAAGCAAGCTTTTGGTGCCTGAACAGTTTGGGTTCCGGTGCAAATGTTCTTGGTTTGCATGCAATAACTTCTGCAATCGAAATAATGCGTAACTGTATAGATGATGAAAAATCAGAATTAGCGGGTTTTTTTAGATCTTAAAAAGGCGTTTGACGCAATTGATTACTCCATTTAACGAACCAAATAAGATCTCCATGGGCTCCGCGGTATAACAAACACTTTTCTGCAGTCTTATTGAACCAATCGTAAACAGTACGTATCTTTTTGTGGATAAAGCTCAATTAAATAGTGTTACGTTGGGAGTTCCCAATGATCTGTGTTAGGTCCCTTGCTGTTTTTACTCTATATTAACGACATGCCTACGAAAGTAACGAAACGCTCAAATTGTCTGTTTGCTGATGATACAACGATACTTACTACGTGCAAAAACAATTCGATTGACAAAAGTTTAAATCAGGACCCTAAATCGATTGGAAATTGGTGCAAAATTAATAAACTAACCATCATTATTGAAAAAAGCAAGTATCCAAATTCGGAAAGATTTCAAAAGCATCTGAAATATTTTTGGCGAATCAGAAAATTAATGTTGTGAACTCCTTCAAGTATCTTGGGGTTGTAGATAATATGCTCTGTTTTAAGCAACACATAGATCATGTTTGTAAAAAGTTAGCTAAATTTAATGGACTTCTTCATAAAGCAATAAAGGTTTTTTCTAGGACATTTGTTCTTAGATTTTGAAAAGTTTATGCAACACTTTTTATATCATACGGCATCTTAATTTATGGATATGCATCAAAACAAATTTAAATCAAATTTTTTTAATGCAAAAGCGAATTCTTAGAACTATTTTCACTAAGCGCAAATTTGATCACTTTACGAAAAAGTTTTCATAATAAATTATTGATACCGTTTTTGACTTGTTTCTAGATACTGTTTTTAAAGAAGTTATTTATCAAATACTTGGTAAATCACCATTAAAATTTTCGGATTTTAGTCAACTAAATAACTGTACACAAACACGTGCCCGTAGCTTGGAATGTTACGTTCAAAATCTGTTAGATCTAACTGCTAATTACAATCGGTTAGCCTTAAAGTGCTCAAGTTTCACAATTGTTTTTTCGGCTAATAGTCTTTTTCCAGAGAATTTGGAAGATATGTCAAAATCTCAATTGAACTCATATTTACAAAACACCAAACGTAAATTTGTCACAGATAATTTTTTCACTCCTTCGCCTGATATTTGACAAGTGATCTAGTTCCTGCCTTTTCTTTCTCTTCAACTTATTCTGTAAAAGTCTACCTTATGTTTTTCTCGACTTTAAAACTGTTGCTGTTCAATCAGGCATTTTGCCTTCAAAGAATATTAGCTTGAATAGAAACCAAAAGACAAACGGCGAAAAATTAAACTTGAATTATTTAGTGAGCACATATAACTAACAAGCATCAGTCATAAGATACTCACAGGGATTGAGCTCACGGGTCTCCTCGAGGGGCCTTGGGACCCGTGAGCTCAATCCCTGTGAGTATCTTATGACTGATGCTTGTTAGTTATATGTGCTCACTAAATAATTCAAGTTTAATTTTTCGCCGTTTGTCTTTTGGTTTCTATTCAAGCTAATATTCTTTGAAGGCAAAATGCCTGATTGAACAGCAACAGTTTTAAAGTCGAGAAAAACGTGAACGAATGACTTCTAGTTTCAAAAATGCTGGCACAGAATTCCCGTGTGATAAAAACAGGTACAATGAAAAATATGGCATTTGGTTTTTTAATTTATTTAGTTTGTTTGAGAGGCCTTGAAAATTTTTTTTCACTGCTAACAAGCATCTTAGTTTTCCTCAAAAAGTCTCTTCCGATTCTCAAACAAGGGGTAGCAATGGAAAAAGCGCCTACTTCTCTGTGTGCTTGAATAATCTTATAGTCTGTTTTCACTTTGTCCCACTCTCTAAAGACTTCGAGAAAGTATGTGGGGGGAATATTTGCCCCATGTTTTTCAAAATTTCGCTGTCCGAAATCTAAGATTTTGAATTCAAAAGATCGAACGGATTGTGCTAAGTTCACTTGCATAAACGGCGGCGCCCAATTTTTTGGCCCTCAGATAACGTTTTGACCGTTTTTTTTTAAATCGTTTTGACTGTACTCGAAAACTGCCCTCTCAAATCTCATGCTGGGACTCATTATGCGGAGACTCTTATTTTCTGAAATGCTGGTATGCTCAATTTCAAAACTTTTGTTTTTAAATGTTGTTTCAGCCTGCTTGTGCAACTTGCGTGAACTCGGGTTGGATTAACTTAATGTTTCAATACTCAGGCTTTTTCATCGATGTGTTGAAGTTAGCGATTCGTTACTAGGTAGTTAATCTTTGCTGGTACCAAAGACGGTAACATATATAGAGATCCAACTTGTGTCGCGTAGCCAATCCATTAATTACCAAGTTTAAATTCCATCTAATTTGGGTATATTTCTATACTGAACAACTTGCTAAGAGGCTCAATATCCAGGCAGATTCATAGATTTCAGTGATCATTTGCTTTCAGTGGTGAAAGCAAATGGATAGAAATCTTGAAGTCTGCAATTTGAATCCGGAAGTCGGCCTAACCCATGTTCACTCACAGCTGCGTTTTGCTTTTTTGCTGGTGTTAACAAGTAGAGTTTCGCCATTGTGTTGATAGATAAAAATTGATTTCTGTTAGTGCGAGCATACTTGTTTCCCATGTATCATTGCCTAAATAGTTTTCGACTTAAATTTATCGAAATACCAAACTATAGCCTTGTCTGTTTCGGCTCTTCGAGCTAATCTAAACTATTAGTTTTAACGTTGAAAATTATATATATATTTAGTCTCTCCTTTTTTTGGACCGATTGATCACCCTTGGAAAAAAAACATTTTTTGATTTTTAGACAAAATTTATGGCCCTTGGACAAAATTTATGACCCTTTGGGCTTTTATTTGCTGTAGTTTTCCTTACTCTTCGGTTCATAATTTATCTTTTCTTGGCTGACTTACTCCTCTTTTATTATTTATTATAGTTTAAGAATTCGGCCTTGTTTCCTTTTCGTAAAATTTGTTCAGTTGCTATTTGAATTTCAAATTTTTGCTGTGCATTTTTGCTGTGCATTTTTGCCTACAATTCCTGTTATAGGGTTGTTTCGGTTAGATCCACCTTCATGGATTTATTTCCAATTCAAATTTCAAGTTGAAATCGAAAGTGCGAAAACGAGTGAAACCAACAATAAAATACCACACGCGTGTAATTAGCAGCTTCTCGATTAGCAAACCTGGTGATAAATTTGCCATATTTTTTTGTTTCCTAAGACAAGCAGCTGCTAATTGCACTCCAGTGTTATTTCACTGTTTGTTTCAATCGCTTTCGCGCTTTCAGTTTCAACTCGAAACTTGATTTGCCAAAATTATCCATATAGGGGTATAACCAAAAAGACCCTTGTTTGATAAAAAGTAGTATTACGGCAGAATATCGGATTTTTTCTTCATTATTTTTTTGAGCAGCTTTGGAAAATTTTATCCGTTTTTGCAAAAAAAAATGTTTTTTTTCCAATCTTTCAAAAAAAAACTTTTTTTTCTCAAGTTTTCTTCCGATTTTCACAAATGGGTATCCATAGGAAGACCGCCTACGTTTTTGGGATGCCTGCATACTCTGGTCTGTTTTTGCTTCACCCTTTTGCTTACAGCCTTCGCAAAATTCTGCGGGGAATAATTGACCAATGTTTTTGATTTTTTGTTTTGTCAGAAAAAAGCTACCAAATTTGAGGCTGTTTTTTCAAAAAGTAGAACGGATTTGAGAAATTCCCCTCCATAAGTGGCTACGCCCAGTTTTTTTGTACAGATAATTTTAAACACGTACCTTCAGTTTTAGTTAGGCCCTAGCGGTAATTCATCGAGACATACGACATTTTTGTTCGCCTATTTTTTCAACATTTTTAATTTTAAAAAATTTTTTTATGATGGCGTTTTTATGGTGTCGCAAGTAATGCAAACTGTAAAAAACAAAACAAACACATGTTACGAAGTGTTATGATTGATCTTTTTTTAAATTAAATAATTTTTAGGTAATTGAAATAAGAATACAGAAAGGGACAACTCAAGCCGAAATCCAGAATTCAAGTGAAACGATTGACAAAATAATCCCCCACATGTTACTTAGTAAAAGTCAACTCTTTGCAGAAGTCGAGCAGAAGTAACCCACAGGTTACTCAGCAGAAGTCGAGTAGGTTACTTAGCAGAAGTCGAATTCTTAGCAGAAGTCGAATATGTCCCTATTTTTCTGAAAAATTGAGCAATTGCGATTGAAAAACGGAGGTTTTCCGTGCAGAAAAGTTGCCGGAGGACGTTATATTTCGGATTTGGAACTTGAAAACTCTCAAAAATGTGAAATTTTGAATACTTCTAGGACGATCCTAATTAGCAAGCGTTATGAAATCGGAATAAGCACTCGTTTTCGGGTTAACAACTAGTTTAACAAAATCAGTATTCAGGTTCATGTTCAATTAGTACTGATCATATGCTCAATGATGACTTGCTCAATTTCATG